AGCTTATGCGATAGTAATGCGTCCGTCGTCCGTCCGTCTGTCTGTCTGTCCGTCTGTCTGTAAACAATTTTTCAAAACACTACTCCTGCTACAGTTTTGGTCTGATTTTAATATAACTTGGCACACAAGTAGACTATACAAAGATACATAAAATGGTGCATCGGATTTTTATTTCGATGACCGGTGTTGCCATGGTTACTAAAAATAGAATTTTCTGTGAAATTCCTTTAAAATGCTACTCCTCCTACAATTTTGATCTGATTTCAATTTAACTTGGCACACAAGTAAACTACACAAAGATACATAAAATAGTGCATCGGTTTTTGATTTCGATGAATGGTGTTGCCATGGTTACTAAAAATAGAATTTTCTGTGAAATTCCTATAAAACGCTACTCCTCCTACAATTTTGATTTGATTTCAATATAACTTGGCACACAAGTAGACTACACTAAGATACATAAAATAGTGCATCGGTTTTTGATTTCGATGAATGGTGTTGCCATGGTTACTAAAAATAGAAATTTCTGTGAAATTCTTTCAAAATGCTACTCCTCCTACAGTTTTGATCTGATTTCAATATAACTTGGCACACAAGTAGACTACACAAAGATACATAAAATAGTGCATCGGTTTTTGATTTCGATGAATGGTGTTGCCATGGTTACTAAAAATAGAATTTTCTGTGAAATTCCTTTAAAACGCTACTCCTCCTACAATTTTGATCTGATTTCAATATAACTTGGCACACAAGTAGACTACACTAAGATACATAAAATAGTGCATCGGTTTTTGATTTCGATGAACAGTGTTGCCATGGTTACTAAAAATAGAATTTCCTGTGAAATTCCTTTAAAATGCTACTCCTCCTACAGTTTTGATCTGATTTCGATATAACTTGGCACAAAAGTAGACTACACAAAGATACATAAAATAGTGCATCGGTTTTTGATTTCAATGAATGGTGTTGCCATGGTTACTAAAAATAGAATTTTCTGTGAAATTCCTTTAAAACGCTACTCCTCCTACAATTTTGATCTGATTTCAATATAACTTGGCACACAAGTAGACTACACTAAGATACATAAAATAGTGCATCGGTTTTTGATTTCGATGAACAGTGTTGCCATGGTTACTAAAAATAGAATTTCCTGTGAAATTCCTTTAAAATGCTACTCCTCCTACAGTTTTGATCTGATTTCGATATAATTTGGCACAAAAGTAGACTACACAAAGATACATAAAATAGTGCATCGGATTTTGATTTCGAGGAACAATGTTGTCATGGTTACTAAAAAATGAATTTTTTTGTGAAATTCCTTTAAAACATTAATCCTCCTACAATTTTGATCTGATTTCAATATGACTTGGCACACAAGTAGACTACATAAAGATACATAAAATAGTGCATCCATTTTTGATTTCAATGAATGGTGTTGTCATGGTTAATAAAAAATAGAATTTTCTGTGAAATTCCTTTAAAACTCTACTCCTCCTATAATTTTGATCTGATTTCAATATAACTTGGCACACAAGTAGTCTACACTATTATACATAGAATAGTGCATCAGATTTTGATTTCGATGAACGGTGTTGTCATGGTTACTAAAAAAAGAATTTCCTGTGAAATTCCTTTAAAACGCTACTCCTCCTACAGTTTTGGTCTGATTGCAATATAACTTGGCACACAAGTAGACTACTCTAAGATATATAGAGTAGTTCATCGGTTTTTGATTTTGATGAAAGTGTTGCCATTGTTACTAAAAATAGAAATGTGTGAAATTCCTTTAAAACGCTACTCCTTCTACAGTTTTGGTCTAATAGCAATGGCTTCTTTTCTCATCCTTTGTTATAAGCACAAACCAGTAGAGCTACAGTCTCAACAGAGACTTCTGGTTTTTTCGCCCTTTCACACTTGCAAACAATTTTGTCCATATTTAAATTCGCCCTGTCAAAATTTGTTTTAGAAATTATACTGTCTTCTTTGAATTGATTATTTGCCCAGTTTAAAGTTCGCCCAAATGAGGTAAGGACGAAAGGGGCGAATTTTTCTCTATATAGATATTTGAAATCATTTTATATTTAGAATCATTGTTATTTGTCACACCATTTCATTTCCAAGTTTCCATCTCCCTTTATATCTCTAAATACGCTGTCTATATATCTATTAGCATGAGCTTAAGATTTAGTGATATATTAGTTACATATAACATATTATTATCCCTGAAATATCACTGATCATTTTTACTTTTTAAGGGCGAAAACCTTCAGTAAGTTTATATATTTATTAGTGAATTTCTCGACAATTTACAAAACACAGTCAGATGCTTGTTGAAGCTCCCCCCCCCCCCCCCCCTCTTCGAAAATACACCTCAGGTCTAAGGAATACTAAGGATAATTTTATTTGTCACTTCTTTCATAAGTACATATTTTTACAATGAATTCCATATGAAAAAAAGAAAGGCTTATTTAAAAATCATACCCGCGGTATAATATATATTTTATAATAGGCTACAGCTGCCGCAGGTTTTTATTTTTAGGGCATCTGTCGATTTTAGCCCTTTCCCTACTGTAGCTCTCTGGTCGTCTATCCCATTTTTGTGTATGTATATTGATCGTTAAACGTAAAATATGTTACCGGAATATATGCTGTATAATCCTGTTTGTACGGACGCTCCTCTTCTGGGGTCATAGGGACCGTGAATCGGACTTTTTTGGCTTCACATTTCAGGGGCAAGTCGCTGGGCTTCCGCGATGCCTATGAATAAATCCAAACATAATAAAGAATACTTGATCAGTTTTGCCATTTTGACCCCATTTCCCCAAGTTCCCAATTCTTCAAAGAAATATGGTTGTCTACAACCAACTACATTTCCGTTCAGCTATAGAATGGCATCGTTCTGTGTATGACTGATAGGATAAATTTCTGTCGTTCAGTTTACTGAAATCTGATCGACTGAATGGAAGAACTCTCCATTCAGTCACCTTTCCACTCATTTCAGTGACCATTCAGTTGACAGAAAGGTACAATTTCAGCCCATGTCGTTTTAAACACACGTACAAAATTGGTATGTGTGTATGAAACTGCACGGGATGAACTACCGACTGCTTTAAGTGTTAACCCGAAACTTGATTATTACGATCACAGGCCTTTGGATCGCTTAAAAATTGTGTAAAAAAAATAAAGGTATGGAACTCTTACACTGGGTACCTAATTTCGCTAATAAAATATTTTTTAGTCTAATGCTCTAAAAATTCTTTCTACTTTCTATTTAAATTTATTGATAGATAAGCATTCTTCAATTCTACCAAAGCTCATTCTGAAATTCCATATATTTCTTGAGATATTCTGAAATCAATTTCAAAAATGACCTACTTTCTTTTACTCGATATTAGCTTGGGCCCCTTGTCATTTACATGTAAACAGACAGTGTTTGAAGTGCGGCGAAGAGTTGCATAGTATTTGCAAAATCTTTTAACAGTTTAAAGTTGATTTCTTACTCCAGATTGTAACGTTAAGTCCGTAATAATATTCCTTTCGCGAAAAATTAATTTGAAAACGTCTACATCAACAAACAACTACCGCCATGTTGATTCTGAATGTAAAGGAAGCCATGGTAGAATGATTTTTTCCCGGAATGCATTATATAACTTTCGATTTTTCAAAACAATTAGACCGTTAAAATGTTGTTTGTGAGTTAGTTACACCATATGATCAAATAAAAGAAAACCTTGTAAAGCTCGAATGCAAATGAGCAAATATTCATGGAGTTTACAATAAATTCCGGGGAAAATTTGTCCCGTCGTTCCAGCTTTAAAATTAGTGAAAGCCCAAGCTGATGTCGAGAAAGAATTAAGGTCAATTAGGGAATTGATTTCAGAGTATCTCGTGAAGTATAAGGAATTACGGAATGAACTTTGATAGTAATGAAGGTTGCTTATATTTGAATAGATATGGATAGAAAAAAAAATGTAAACCATTTGATTTAAAAGAATTTTATTGGCGAAAGTAGGTGCCCCATGAAAAGAGTTCCATGTAGCACAAACAGACTCAAGATGGCGATGAGAACTAGTTTATTACAACACGTGCAGCATCATCATGAATAACAAGGAAGATAACTCTATTTTAACATTTACAAATAACACCAGTGTAAGAGTTACTGTTCTTAGATACAGATAATGTCACATCTCCCCTTTTAAGTTAACTGCAAAATGTTTGTTAAAATTGCATTTGAAATAAATTTGCATTTTATCATTATAATGAAACAGCTCTCAATATTCTTACTTTTTTTTGTTTAACTACAACTAACAAAACTGAACTACAAAACTGCACATTGAATGTACACATCAGATTCAGAAATTCACTTTAACTGTTTGAATTAACACTCCGTCACCAGCCTGCGAGGTGCTTTGATGACCCGACCACTCGATGTGGTAACACTAGTTGTTTCGTCTCCAGAATTTATAGACGGACCATTGACACGGTTAGATTTATCACAAAACGAATCACAGTGACCGTTAACAGACTCTTCGGTATCTACTGGTTGTTCTTTGCTCAGTTCTTTCGTTTTGATAAGGCTGTTTAAAATTAATTCTACGTTTAACGTCACATCAAAGTTCAAAAAGCTACGAGGGAGGGAGGAAAAAACAAACAAAAATTTTAAACAAATGTGTTTTTATTAAAATTCACTTGCTCAGTGAACAAAAACTCAACAATGTCAAATGCTACATACTGTAGGAATTGAAATTAAGTTCAAGTCTATTGAAAAATCACATATTTTGTGACTTTATCATGTTTTATCAATATACATGTCTGCCCAAAATTAAAGTACACATTTAAGATTTCATATTCAAGTTTAAGTCAGTTTCTGCGCTTTCCCAACAAAGACTTTTTCCTTAATCTGGGTTTGTATCCTTTCTGTGAACACACCATGCATACTGGGTGAGCAGATGAGTGGCTTTCAATTACTTCAGGAGGTAAATCCAAGGGGTTTTCATCACCACAAACATAGCAAACCAAGTGAAAATTTTTCCTTTTATGGTAATAGTTACTAGACACATGTGACTCACAGGTTATCTACAATTAAAATTTATGATGACAGTATTTCATTTATCATCTTACATGTAAAAATTTAACATAAGCTGTGTGTTTTTTTTCTTTCAATTTTCAATACTGTTTAGTTTTGAAATAAAACTTTATTTGGTGTATATGTATCACAACTGTAAGAAAATCATTGTACCTTTACTTCTACAAACACAAGGCAGGGTTCTTGGAATATTTGCCCCCCACAAGTGTACTCCACATCTTCTTTCCTCTCCTCCACCTGTGCAACTTCATCTTCTGTAAGCTTCTTCCTATTGAAATATGAATGTTTAGTTTTCTTTCCCCATGTTTAAATTTAGAATCATGACCTCCTTATTCAGTTCTGCATAAAAAGTATGTAGCTCAAAACATTTGAAGTACATTTACACTATCAATTTTAAACATGGACAGGAATGTTGAGATTGAGAGAAAACTATTGAATGAATGATTTTCTCACTGTGCATAATAACATCTTGGTTTCAGGCACACTTCACACTTGATAAAACCTCTGCAGTTTTCCCCAGACACAGTGAATGGAACTACCACCTCCTGGCTTTCATCCAACTTTCTTCCCAGACTTGGCCTGTACTTTTCTGTAGGAACTGAACCCCAAACCTACAAATATTTTTTTAAACTTTAATATTATAATGATTACATTTACTAACATTCTGATGTTTAAGAATAAATACAAGAAAGAATATTTATAAAATTATTTATACCTCATCAAAAGATTTGTAATGATCTGATTGATCACCATCACCAGGAACAGGAAGAGGAAACTTGTGGAGGGATTCCAAAAGCTCAATAGGTACTCTGTCATCGCTTGAGATAGTACAGACTGCACAATCCTGATCTCTGCACCTTTTCATAGTGAACAAGTAATGATGCCTCTCACAATGACTTTCAAGGAACTTCTGGAGAACTGGATAATTTTTTAGGTGTTTCTGTTGCATGTTTTTTCTGTCAAAATTTGGCTCGAGATTTTTAAGTATGTCAAACAAAGCATCTATTTCAGCTTCAGAGGCTGCTTCTTGGATTTTAATCTGTTTTCCTTTCCAGCTTAGTCTACCAAGTGTGCTTCCTAGCAAATCAGTAACAGGTTTGATACAAGAATCAATCTCATTTTTCAGAGCACCATCTTTCATAACCTTGTTTCTAATATCTGCCATTGTATTTAAACCACTGATCTGCTTTTCAAATCTTCTTGGCATTTCTTGGCGCATGACGCCAACTGACTGCAAACCCAGATTCAAGACAGACATAACCCTTTCAACAGGATCTATGTAACTCTGACAGGGAGCACACCTACCAGCAACAATGTAAGACAAGTTGTATTTGATAAAAAGACTGAGAAATCCTAACTGCACTGATAAAAATGTGAGCCTGTGATCACCACCACCATCACTGAACACAACCAAGATAGGGTTTCCCTGCTCTCTAATGATTTGACTAATCTCAACCATGTGTCTCATAGGTGAACTTGGTTGAAGAATTGTATTCTTCAAAGTTACATACACATGACCATCATAGAATGATTTGTCAATGGAATCAGGTATCTGGATCTTGAATGCAACAGAAGGTGTTATCTTAAATTTTGTGAAGTCATGATCACCCACAGAAAAGGCTTTGTCTCTGGAGACAAGTACTTGTCGACCTCTTTCTACAGCAGCAACAGGGTAGCCAGGTTCCCCAACTTTTATTTGGTGTTTGTCATCAAGTGACAAAAAAGTACAGAAAGGCTGAAATTTTATACAAAATTCCCTTAAATATTTAAAGCCAGCAGCTGCATAGTGAGAATCTACATGCTGAGAGCGCAACTGCCGAGATTGAACCATGTATTTCACATTGAACTTCCCAGTATAATACATTGCAGACCTAAAATAAGGGTTAGTAGGCCAAAATTGAAGCCTCAGATAGTTTTCACTGGGAATTGCTGTACCTTCAGGCAAGTCTTTTGAGACTTGTTCTCTGAGATCATGGACAGAAATTGCCAAGGCCATGTGGGTGTGCTGCTCATGCCTTCTCTCATCAACTGCTTCTAAGGCATTTCTATTGAGAAAAGCTTGTACACCATCAAAAAATGCATCATACTTCACAGGCTTGCCTTTGTTTAGCTCTCTGAGATCTGTCAAGTTTTCATAGTCACCAGATTGAATAAGAATGTCTAACCTTGCCTTTACCTCCTTTGAAATATCATTAACAACCTGTGTACTATCATTGGTAAGAAATCGATACATTTCTTGCAGTATTACAGGCTTTGTTTTGACTAACCCCTCAAACCTTGACTGAAACTCCCGACGCATCATTCTTGTGTGGTACACAGGTATTTTCTTGTCTACGTCTGACATAACTTGCTTTGTAGTATTAAAATCTAGACATGGTGGTGTACGCCACACAAAATGAGATGAACCAACATAATTTCCTGCACTATAACTGTATGTTTCTGTTTGGTAGGGCATAGATAAATCTGAAATGTATCTATATCTCTTTTTTCTATCAATAGGAGCAAATTCATTCACAAGTAGGGGCTCATAAAATGGTAGAGAACTTAATTTGAGTTCAAGCAACTTGTACCGATCAACAATGGCTTGTGTTCTAAGAGTAGTCAAGGCCGTACGTATAGGTCATTTTTTCCCGCCAAATTCGGTGTAACATAGGACATTCGAGGGGAGGGGTTAAAACTGATACCCCCGGGGAAAATAAATGGGTACGACTTTAAGGGTCTTTGAAAACAAATGATACCCCCGGGGAATTCATGAGGGTGTACCCCGGGGAAATATATAGGTACGGCAACCGGGTTTTAATTGGATAACCCGGGAATTCATTAAGGTGCAACAATTTCCCGCCATGTATCCATGCAGTATTAATTTCGGGTAGTTTTGTTAGCCTGGAATAACTACAGTTTTATAGTAATCACTGTTCCCTATTTGAACAATTCTTATTGGGTAAACTTTTAAAATAGAAACCTATGTACTTACGCAAACACTTTTCCCGCCAAATTTAGTGTAAACTTTGGAAATAAGAAGAGAGGTTTTAGATGCAATACCCCTATGGAAATAGATTTTTATGGTTTTAAGGGGTCATTGGAAACATTTGATACCCCCGGGGAATTCCTGAAGGTGTACCCCAAAGAAATATCTAGGTATGGTTTTAAATGAGTCAGTGAAAACATTGGAATTTAATTAGGTTCAACAATTTCCCGCCATGTATCCATACAGTATTATTTTGGGTAGGTTTTTATAGTTATCACTGTTACCTATAGGAAAAATGCTTAATTGTTATACACGAAAGTTTATACACGAAAAATAGAAATCCATGTGCATTACCCCAAACCTCAGGATATGCAAGAATAAATTATCCCTGATATGGGTAAATAATCAAGATTTTAAATAATAATAAAGAAAATTGGACTGCAACAATATTTTATTATACATGACTAATTACATACTGACAATACTTTTTTAAAGCACAACATACTGTGCAACTACATCCCGTATGGGACAGATTCCTGTCCATGTAGTACACGTTTATCAAAAACAATTTTATAGTCTTTTTCTTCAACCTTGGTGATGATGTTCATTGTTTTAGTGTCTCTTGCAATTTTGTGTAAATCGGTAACAGTAATTGTAGTGTCATTTTGGTCTTGGTCCATGTTTTTAACCATTTCTTTGATAGTTTCAAAATTAATTTTCTGTAGATTAGAGTAACTCAAGGTAATTCCTCGTACTTTGCACTGAGAGATCTTCCCGTCAGTTCCAGAATTTTTTAAAGTGTATGCATAATTCTTAGGACCACCGGTCACAAACACTTCGATTTCATTGTCAGGAACTTCATCTGTTAAGTTCCCAAGGTAATCACCCAGTTTTGGCTCCCACTCTCCAGGCTTTGTGGTGAATACTATCGAATCGGTGTCGACATAAAGTACTCTTCTGTCAAGTTTTTCCAGGTAAGAGTAAAGTTTGAGTCGAGCTTGTGCTGTTGTGTAAGCTGCAATGACGACATTCGTTCTCCCGGTGTTCTCAATGAAATCATCACTGTTAACCCACTGAATACGTACCATTTCGTCATTAACAAAACTGTCATCCAAGACGTTTTGTTCATCACTAGTAAGTATATCAAAATACTGCACAGGCTCAGTGAGATACTGTGTCTTTGGTAAATTCAGTCGTTGTCCAAATTTTCCCCAGAAGCTATTCAACATTAATTTTGCTAGAGCTCTTAAACCTGGGTTAAAGAACTCGGTTCACTTCCTATCATATTTGGCCCTGAGAATTTCCAAAAAATGAAGTTTAAACTGAATCAAAACTATATAGTGGAAATAAATGTTGGATATATGCTTGCTTAAAATATATATTAAAAATTTGAGAATGTGTCCCTGTTTAACTATTTATTGGGGGTCAAAACATGCAAGGAATGCGTATTTCCGGAAAAATCGTTAAAAATCAACTACTTAATAAACATGTCCTGTTAATTTAAACATGGTGCCCACAATATCACCATTACAATTTTTTTCATAAAGAATGCTTTTAAAACATTGTTTCAACTGAGAAAATTTCAAAGTGGTGATATGATGGGCACCTATTGAAAAATGCTTTTAAGTAGTTGATTTTTAACGATTTTTCCGGAAATATGCATTCCTTGCATGTTTTGACCCCCAATAAATAGTTAAACAGGGACACATTCTCAAATTTTTAATATATATTTTAAGCAAGCATATATCCAAGAATTATTTCTACTATATAGTTTTGATTCAGTTTGAACTAAATTTTTTGGAAATTGTCAGGGCCAAATATGATATGAAGTGAACCGAGTTCTTTGATTTTGTCATATTCTAGTAAAATCCCTTCCCTGACAAAATAATCATTGATGTATTCCCTTTTGTCTTCCTCTGTTTTACACCAATCAGGCCAACCACTTGCCTCTTGTTTCACCTTGAGGAACGTATTTACATAATCTGTAAAGATTCCCCCATTTTTTGTTAATGGATTATACTGAGAAATATTTTCAAAGTGCCACACCTCGTACATTTCCGTAATCTCGTATCCTTTTTCAATCGCTTTTTTCAACTCATCGGTGACCCATGTACCGATAAACGAACGACCTTCGTCAAGATGTGTACATTTTGAGATTTGTTTTGTTTCCATGCAAGTTTTGCAGAGCCCAAATAAGAGTTTACCATTTATTCTTGTTGGTAAAACAGGTATGAAGAGTCCCTTTGGAGGTAAAACTTTACATTTTATAAGCCCTTCATAAGCAGAAATATTTT